GTGTGTGTGTGTGTGTGTGTGTGTGCGTGTGTGTGTGTGTGTGCGTGTGTGTGTGTGTGTGCGTGTGCGTGTGCGTGTGCGTTTGCGTATCGCAGTGCTCTACCGCTCACTGTGCCCCGATTGGCTACTCGGCGCACTCTCCCTTTCTTATGCCTCCTCTGTCTGAGTTGATGTTCGTTCCGGTTCGCGTGTTTCAATGACGAGCGAACGAGTACGCACCAATGTTTTTCGGTCTGTGTATGCGCGTGATGTGCCTGTGTATGTGTGCGTTGCTCGTACGCGTGTGCTGTTTGTGTGTGTCTGTGCGTGTACGCGCGCGCGTGCGTCGTGCGCGTGCGCTTGTGCTTTCTAAAAGTGTTGCCGCCTGCCGGCGGGCGGCAAGGCGGACCAACAGGATTGCAAGAGTTTCCCCGCGCCTACGAAGGGGGCGCTGCCACCGCTTCCTACTTTCCTAATTTCTTTTCACCTTCCTTTCTTCTTTTCTCTGCAATTGTCGGCCTTTTCTCCTTCCTTTCTTCTTTTCTCTGCAATTGTCGGCCTTTTCTCCTTCCTTTCTTCTTTTCTCTGCAATTGTCGGCCTTTCTCCTTCGTTTCTTCTTTTCTCTGCAATTGTCGGCCTGAAGTGAACATTCTTCTGCCAAGGGGAATTTCAGACGTCACAGGCAGTTGTTGGCACACCAACGATTGCCTCGTTCGACACCACTACAGAATACGTTTTTTTTTCTATATTCTTCTCTCAATTTCACCTCACACTACCTACCTACCAACCACTACTCCTAATTGTAGGCATACGGCGAACCCCGTAGCAGCCAGAACCGTGTTCACGAGGGAACATGCGGGGGCTGCTCGCTACCTGCAGGTGGGCGATACCGGCTAGGGGGCAGCCTGTAGCATCAGGGACCATGCCAACAGGACCAATCCCTGTGCTTCCCCTCAGGTCCCCTCCCCTAYGAACATCAGCAGACTCTGCTCAATGCCGATAGGGGGATCCAGTGGTCTATCTCTAGGTGGCGGGCGCCAAGCATGCCCAGGAAGGTACATGAGGCCAGTGGGGATTGAACCCACGACCTCCTGAATGCCACCTTGGAGCCTTACCAACTGAGTTAGGCCCCTGGATAAGGGACTCTTATCTGGTAATTAATTTCCCTTAAATCCAAACCCTACAGCCCCTTACAGAAACCCTACAGCCCCTTACAGAAACCCTACAGCCCCTTACAGAAACCCTATAGCCCCTTATGGAAACCCTACACTTACGCGCCATTATAATTCAGGTGCTGAGCTTTTCCCCGTCGACCGCTGTGGCCGGCCCTACAAGTGGCGGAGGTGCACCGTGCCGGACAAAAAAAGGTCTGCCCTGCTTGGGCCCATGTGACTCGAGATGGAAGCAAGCAGGCCCAAAAAAGGGGTGCAAGACGAAAACAACCCACAAGACCTTGGTTAGCTGACCATTAGACACTGCCTATGGGTGCCCTCACTGCTCACGGGACTGAGTTGAGAACGCACCTAGCTCCCGAGGTTCCCGTGTAACAAGGCTTGTACGCTAGTGCCTCAACTGAGGCTGAATGCGGTTCAGCATCAGTGCCCGCGTCCGTGTCTGGTCAGGTTGCTCTAGTGTAGAGTGATGCTCCTCATATGAGGTAGGATGAAGAAGTGGGGGCGAGCCAGGAAAAATATATCGAGAGGTGGTAGGAAGGATGTCTCATGAGTAAAAAAAAAAAAAAAAAAAAAGAAAGGAAGGTGCGCGCTGTCGGAGCAGAAATCCTTACAGGGCTATCAAAAAGGGTTTTGAGGTGTCGAGGGGATAACCCAGGGAGGAAGTTCGTCAGGGGGCTTTAAGTGCCAGGTTCAGCCCCCTGTCGGCATAGTGGGCCCACCCACTCACACGGGGATCACTCAAGATGAGAGCTCTCATAGACCTTGCAACACCCCCCCCAGGAGTATCAGCCCAGACCGGAGCTACCAGGTCGCTAGCGACAGGATGCACCCTCTTCTAACCAGGGTCCTGCATCCCCGAGGCACCTGGGCGGGAGGCCTGTAGCACCTAGTCATCAGGTGCTCTGGGGATGAGAGTCACTCCTGCTAGGAAGGGGGTGAACCCTTCGTCCCTTTCGGGCACTCATCCCCATTGAGCTGCCCCTCCCTGAGCCATCTCCCCCCATGGCATCAGCAACCCCAAGGGGAGGCACGTACCGCCGTTCCGGAGGATCCGAGACTGTGAAAGGGATAGGTATCTGTTGGGCACCCTCTCAGGTGGATCCCAGGTCAGGTCTAGACGGATCCTCACGTACATCCGTTCCCCTTGGTTGTGCGCGCGCTAAGTGTGTGAGTGGTAGTACATCAAACTAACGCCCTGTCGGCAGCCTATGGACGAGGCTACGGGGATTTGTGCCCACAACCTCATACCACAATGTGCATTTCCAACCGGTGCCCTAGCCACTGGGTCGTCCGCCACTGGATGTTGTCCGACCTTTTTATAAACGTTTTCGAAATAAATGACTTGATGAGATTGACGCACTGGATGAGAGTTTATTCAAACCAGACCTATGACCGAAAAACCTAGCATAAAGTATTGGATTCAAGTCCGGACGCTTGCGACGTCTAGAAAATAATGGTGATGATCAGTGGTGTGACTGGTTGTGTTTCGCCTTTGGCAAGGCCACCGGGACGTACAACGAATGGATAACTAAATCTAAAACTTATCCTGATTGAGGGTTTAAATAAGGAAAATGTGTGGCCTCGTTGAGGCCATGGTTGGATGGGTTAAGCAAAAATTTAGACATGACCCCAATAGTTTTATGCCTTGTGGGATTGATCCGGTGCGTGTCCCTTGATAAGGTGGTTTGTTAACCTATAGAGTGAGATGCCCGATGGTTTGAGCACGGGCCATCAGCGATTGAAAAGTCGGGCAGGCTGGACTTACCAAACTGTAGGTAGGCATCATACTGGGGGGGCAACCCTGCTACTCTATCATGATTATTACTGAAAATCCTATTGTTTTTGTATATCATGAAAGTATTCACTAAGGCCCCATTCATGTGAGTATCCAAAATTTGGCCTACTATCTTGGTGTCATCTGGTTGGTTCTCACATACCCAATCCGAAACTAAGAATAATTGGCCCTTTTTTAATATAGCTATACATGCCAGGGGGATGACCGATATAATTTCATCAAGATTGTTGGATAAATTGTGTGCATATTTAATCTCTCTCCTTAAGCCATCCACAAATTTCCAACTCTTTCTCGTTGGATCTCACAAATCTTTAACTCTGACCACTTCATTCTTTACCCATGTAGAATATGAGGAGACCGAGGTTATAAACACTTTACCATTTGAGTTTGTAATCCATCGATTACCAAAAATGGGTTGACGTAGTACTTCCTCATATCTAGAAGGCGGGGACTTATTTGGAATGGCATCTCTCGTTAGAATTTCAATAGTGTTTAACAAAAATTATCCAACATTAAATCTCTCCTAGTTGCACCTCTCACCCCAGGCTCTGCAGAATTAGCATGGGATCGGGGAATAGTCCAATATCGATCTTCCACCCAGGTAAGAGGGTGTACCTCTCTTGTAGTTTAGGGAGTCAATCTACAAATTTGCTCAAGAGTTAGGCTTTGCCAAGAAAGATGTGTACCCAATATCAGGCGTTTTTAACACTTGAAGAGTAAAAATCTGACACTGAATTATGGGTTCAAGAATCCTAAGGCCCACTTTGGTTTTAGGTTGGATTATAATCCTCCAAGTCACTCTTGGCATCACACGGGGTGTTTCATGATCACCCCGCCAAAGAAAAACAATAAGTTGTCTTTGTAATTTCATAGTAGATGTTTCATTTAATGATCACAACACATATCTGTACCAAATTGAAGCCAAAACTACGTTGTTAATTATCAGTACCCGGTTGACATACCTATGCTATTGCATCTAAAAACTTTCACACGTGGGTCAGTAGCTCGGTAGGGATACGCCCTTGAGGATAGTGACAACCCCTCAGGGAAGGCAAGTTATGCCTCGTGAGAACCTATCCTATTGTAGGGAACCGCGATAGGTACGACAAGCGTACCCGGCTAGAGAGGCAAGGTGACAACACAACTGCATCAATTTCACCGGTTCGTAATATTAATTATGCGTTGTCCCAAAGTTGACTCCGGTTTTCTTTTACTCATGTGTAACACGATCAGGAGGGATCTCGTCTTTTCGTGAAAAATGAGGGAGTTGATGCGCTCGACAACGCGGATCCTCAATTTGGATTTAAAAAGGTTCTCTCGACGTGTAGTACATCTCATCACCTTTTGTGTTTGTGGTTGTGTGCATCTTTCTACAATTACAAGGGTTAGCACAACGTGACAGGGGTTGAAACGCCTTTCAAATGGTAGAGGTTCCAACGTCCATTCGCCCCGTCTCCACCTACCAATTTCACGCCTTCGAGATCGTGGACCCACCAACGTGCATCGGACCCACCCCACCTACCACCCTCCAATGGTCACCTCCAACAGCCAACGGAAACGACACGGGGAGGCAGGGGGGATCTGGGGGGCGGTACCAGATGCTCGTTGGCAC